TCCATCCACCCACCCACCCACCCACCCATCCATCCTTCCACCTACCCATGCATCAGTCCACCCATGCACCCATCCATCCATCCACCCATGCACCCATCCACCTGTCCATCCATCCTTCCACCTACCCATGCATCAGTCCACCCATGCACCCATCCATCCATCCACCCATGCACCTATCCACCTGTCCATTCATCTATCCACCTACCCATCCATCAATCCACCCATGCACCCATCCATCCATCCACCTATCCACCTGTCCATTCATCTATCCACCTACCCATCCATCAATCCACCCATGCACCCATCCATCCATCCACCCATGCACCCATCCATCCATCCACCCATGCACCCATCCATCCATCCATCCTTCCACCTACCCTTGCATCCATCCATCATCCATCCGTCCACCTAACCTCCCACTCGCTTATTCAGCTATTTACTCATCCATCTCTCCGCTCATTCATTCTGCTTTTCCGCCTGTACATCCACTTCCCCTCTGTTTCTTCACTCATCTCCTTGCCTGTCCATCCACCCACCCACACAGCCAGCCTTCCGTTCGTTCATGACCGTCCACGTACATATACACCTGGTTACCCCCCACACCCATCTGTCCACGCAGCAGCTACTCGTTCACTCATCCAGGTACCCACATTTCCACCTCTCCCTCCTCTTGTTCAGTCTGTCCATCCATCACCTCCTCATTCAAGTATCTATCTGTCCGTTTCTCATCTCCCTGTCCAGCCACACACCCGTTCAACCAACCTTCCGTTCATCTGTTAGCTCACCCAACTGTCCTTCCACCCTCCCATCTACCCGCTGTTTCTCGCCACCCAGCCGTTCACCTGCCTATCAGACTACTAATAATATATTTATTTGTTCCATTTTTGGGGAGAGGTTTTTGCTACAGGCTGCCTGCGCTTGCCAGAAAGACAAGAGAGAAACAGAGACAGAAAGTGAGAAATCACCCCCCAGGGGGGATGGCCATACCGCAGTCCCTTCTCCATTCTCCTCTTGGGATCTTGGGCACGCACATGCACCCGGCCTGAGTTTAAGCCACTGGGTCTGGACTCGAACTGCAGTCGGCTACATGGGAGTCCAGTGACACAGCCGTTACGCCAACTGCAGGTCTATATTTATTTTATTTTTAAAAAAGAATTATTTATTTAATTTAATTAATTTATTTATTTAAATTTGTCCAGAGAGGGACAGAGTGAGCGAGAGAGAGAGAGAGAGAGAGAGAGAAAGAGAGAAAGCAAACCGCCAGGTCCAGGACTTGAACCATGGCTGGCCATG